TACTCATTAACAAACCAAAAATAGTTGCCGAGTGCCAATTATGTATAAAGTACTTTGTTAGAAACTATGGATAATTTTAACAAGTACATAAAACCAAATTCCACAATGTAGAAGCCTTGGTGTAGCTAAATAATTCTGAGTTTCAGACTGAGAGACACTTAGGTTCAAAAGTTTCAGCCTTGGCCTCCTCATCTCTAAAAGAGTCAGAATAACTATTTCCCACCACACAAAGTTGTGAGGATTAAATAAGATAGTGTATTAGAGATAGTGGTTAGCATAACGCCTTTCACAGGCTTTCAGCATCAACTCGGATCCTTCAAATGCCCCCCTAAACTACTTGGCAATTATTTACTTTTGCACTGCAGTGTCCATGTAGCAAAAAGGAATTGAGGAGTTTATAAACTACTAATTCCATTGATTGTATTGAAACGGTGTCTCTTTCAAGGCAGAGGGACACAGATGATGTCTGTAATAATGACCTTAGACAAGGCTGCCACCCCTGCAAATATGTGTGTGGGCTCGGGCAACACTCCTCCGCAGCGCTGATGCTCCAAGTGCATGCCGCCCTTTAATAAGAGGCTGAGGGGCTCCAAACATGACCTTCCTTGTTGCTTCCCTTCATCCTCCACTCGTTTCTTTCAGAAAAGAATCAAATGCCAGAACCTCAGGAAAATTAAATAACCTCTTCAGAGCCCTTCCCACACTACTAAATTAGCTTAGGGCTCATGGGTGGAAGTGGGTGATAATATAAAACCAAAATCTTACGTGTGATACAATAAAAATGAATAATCTTGTGGCTCAGTGTCAGTTCTGGAAGTGTCCAGAGACACAAGTTGAGAAAACACTTTCTATATCAAGACACATTCCAATGTGTTCCCCTCCTTCAATCCAGAGCAGTGTCATCAAAGCTACCATCTTTGTGTCCTACGACCTGTGTCAAGAAAGGAAGCCTGGAGCCCTCCTTAGTTTTACTGTAATTGACTGACCCATTCCTCACCACCTGTCCCCATCTGGCAACAGAATCACCACAGTAAGAAAATTTTTTCTCTGTAAAATTTGCAATAAACAAATTTACTCCAGTGATTGTTTTTACATTGAAAAGTATTTTTAGCTGCAGGGACCACAGCCCTTAAGCCCATCAACTGTAATAAAAAGCAATATGCTAATATCCACCACACAAAGCCTTTTAAAGTTAACATACAATCTTAAACTGTTTTTGACTAAATAAAAAATAGCTCCCTCTAGTTAGCCAGAGTAAAGCTTGGCGATGTCTCTTGCGTCATTATTGCTCTATTTTGATCCAAACATACTATATATAGCTTAAACAGTTCATCCCATTTGCAGTCTCATATCTGTTTCCCTTTAATTTCATACTGTACTGGCAATTACCCAGCTTCATTAACTCCTTAGGAAATTTCTCAAGCACACTACAAGAAGCACCATGTAGGAAATATTAACATATAGCAGTATTCTTGAAGTAAAATTTGGAAGTATGCAAAAAGGAATCATTTTCATTAAGTTAATATGCTGAGGATGAAAAGCATTATAAGGTAAACCACATCAGGAATCTTGCTTCTGACCCTTGTGCCAGAAAGAGTACTCATTAACAAACCAAAAATAGTTGCCGAGTGCCAATTATGTATAAAGTACTTTGTTAGAAACTATGGATAATTTTAACAAGTACATAAAACCAAATTCCACAATGTAGAAGCCTTGGTGTAGCTAAATAATTCTGAGTTTCAGACTGAGAGACACTTAGGTTCAAAAGTTTCAGCCTTGGCCTCCTCATCTCTAAAAGAGTCAGAATAACTATTTCCCACCACACAAAGTTGTGAGGATTAAATAAGATAGTGTATTAGAGATAGTGGTTAGCATAACGCCTTTCACAGGCTTTCAGCATCAACTCGGATCCTTCAAATGCCCCCCTAAACTACTTGGCAATTATTTACTTTTGCACTGCAGTGTCCATGTAGCAAAAAGGAATTGAGGAGTTTATAAACTACTAATTCCATTGATTGTATTGAAACGGTGTCTCTTTCAAGGCAGAGGGACACAGATGATGTCTGTAATAATGACCTTAGACAAGGCTGCCACCCCTGCAAATATGTGTGTGGGCTCGGGCAACACTCCTCCGCAGCGCTGATGCTCCAAGTGCATGCCGCCCTTTAATAAGAGGCTGAGGGGCTCCAAACATGACCTTCCTTGTTGCTTCCCTTCATCCTCCACTCGTTTCTTTCAGAAAAGAATCAAATGCCAGAACCTCAGGAAAATTAAATAACCTCTTCAGAGCCCTTCCCACACTACTAAATTAGCTTAGGGCTCATGGGTGGAAGTGGGTGATAATATAAAACCAAAATCTTACGTGTGATACAATAAAAATGAATAATCTTGTGGCTCAGTGTCAGTTCTGGAAGTGTCCAGAGACACAAGTTGAGAAAACACTTTCTATATCAAGACACATTCCAATGTGTTCCCCTCCTTCAATCCAGAGCAGTGTCATCAAAGCTACCATCTTTGTGTCCTACGACCTGTGTCAAGAAAGGAAGCCTGGAGCCCTCCTTAGTTTTACTGTAATTGACTGACCCATTCCTCACCACCTGTCCCCATCTGGCAACAGAATCACCACAGTAAGAAAATTTTTTCTCTGTAAAATTTGCAATAAACAAATTTACTCCAGTAATTGTTTTTACATTGAAAAGTATTTTTAGCTGCAGGGACCACAGCCCTTAAGCCCATCAACTGTAATAAAAAGCAATATGCTAATATCCACCACACAAAGCCTTTTAAAGTTAACATACAATCTTAAACTGTTTTTGACTAAATAAAAAATAGCTCCCTCTAGTTAGCCAGAGTAAAGCTTGGCGATGTCTCTTGCGTCATTATTGCTCTATTTTGATCCAAACATACTATATATAGCTTAAACAGTTCATCCCATTTGCAGTCTCATATCTGTTTCCCTTTAATTTCATACTGTACTGGCAATTACCCAGCTTCATTAACTCCTTAGGAAATTTCTCAAGCACACTACAAGAAGCACCATGTAGGAAATATTAACATATAGCAGTATTCTTGAAGTAAAATTTGGAAGTATGCAAAAAGGAATCATTTTCATTAAGTTAATATGCTGAGGATGAAAAGCATTATAAGGTAAACCACATCAGGAATCTTGCTTCTGACCCTTGTGCCAGAAAGAGTACTCATTAACAAACCAAAAATAGTTGCCGAGTGCCAATTATGTATAAAGTACTTTGTTAGAAACTATGGATAATTTTAACAAGTACATTTTCTGTACTTTAGGAGTTTACAGTGTATCTGGAGGATAAATGTATAAAGAATACAAAAGCACCTAATGATTGATATAGAAAAAAGTTGCTAGAAAGAATCTGGGGGGAGAACGTCCCTCCTGATGTCACCCTTTAATGGTAAGACAAGTCATCAGAGAGGAAGTACCCTTTGGGCTAGGCCTGAGGGAGGGAGAAGGGAAATGTTAGGCACAAAAAGACAGCAGTGGGAAGACAGGACTAAGGGAAGAGAAAGGTTAATTTGGCTGGCGCAGAGTTTATGTAGAGAAGCAGCAGGAAATAATGCTGAAAACAGCATTTTAAAATTAATTCGTTCACTGGGCACTTACTAATGCCAGACAGTGTTCTAGATGCTGGCAATGAAAAGGTAAACCAGATAGGCCGGGTTGCTGCCCTTGAGAGCCTACCTCATGGGGGCAGGAGACCTACTGCGAAGAAAATAAGCATGTGAGAAACAGGGAAAGAATGGGTACAGGGGTCTATTCTAGATCTGGTGGTCAGGGAACATCTGTCTGCATCAGGAATATTCTGAGCTGAGACAAGGAGGTGAGAAAGCACATCCTCCTGCACAGAGTGAACAGCAAGTGGCAAGCACCAGAGCCAAGAAGAGCTTGGATCCTCAAAGCACCAAAAGAAGGTCAAGGAGGCTAACCAAGGGCACTGGTGAACCCTCTGAAGGATTCATACGTTCATCAACTCCATCCTACTACTTTAAGTACCAGATTTGTGTTGTTGTATACAAGGATGACGGTATGTGACCTGAGCCACATTCTCTAGCGATTCTGCAGGTAGGATTTCTTCACCATGCATACTTCATTTTTCCCACTACCCCAGCCACCCACCACTCCAGTAGGAGCTCCATGAAGGAAGGGAATTTCGTTGCATTCACTGTTGTATTCCCAGTCTTCAGGTGGCGAGTGATCTCTATACACCAGGCAGTGGACTGAACTATGTCCCCCAAATCCATGTATAAGAAACTTAACCCTCACTGACAGTGTTAAGAGAGTGGGAAACGCTATTATGGTAATTGAAAGGTGATTGGATTGTTAGGACTGTACCCTCAATGGATCAGTCCATTCTTGGAATAATGGGAGTGGTTCTGGTGGCTTTAAAAGGAGAGTGAATGAGAAGGTTAGTCTCTCTTTCTGTTCCACCATTTCCACCATGTGACACCTTGCATTGCTGTGGAGCCACATCAGCAGATATATTCCCTGGACTTTGGACTTCCCAGCCTCCAACACTGTACACAAAGGAGAGTGAATGAGAAGGTTAGTCTCTCTTTCTGTTCCACCATTTCCACCATGTGACACCCTGCATTGCTGTGGAGCCACATCAGCAGATATATTCCCTGGACTTTGGACTTCCCAGCCTCCAACACTGTACACAATAAATATTGTTTCTTTATAAATTACCCAGTTCCAGGTATTTTGTTATAAGCAACAGAGATGGACTAATACATACCACCTTTGTGCAAAAGAAAGATAATTCCATTTGACAATGCTTCTGCCCTTCGCAGACAACAACTGACTATCTTTGACTTATGACGCTGTTTTTTCTTTACTCAGGAGTCTCCAACTTGACCCTCTCCAAGGGCCAGGGAAGAGTGAAGATGGCCAGGTGCAAAACAGCAGGCAGTGGTGGGCATGACAGTGAATGGGCCACACAGGTGCCACCTAGAGGGGGAGCTGCTACTCCTGCCTGTGCAACAAGCAAAACCATCGGACCATCTGCTGTTGACCCTGGCCCTCCAGCTGCTGGTGCAGGGCCTGGGTTTTCATAGGCTCCAACAGAAGAAGAAGGTGCAGAAGGAAAACTTTTTTTTCTTTTAGAGTTTATTTCCTCATACCTACCCAAGAGTAAAAAGGCAATGGAAATCTCAGAAGGTTGCTGATTTTTCAGTGACAGAAAGAGGGTGTAGGTGTAGGGGTGTGTGTGGGGTGTGTGTGTCTGTGTGTGTGTGAGTGTCTGTGTATGAGAGAGAGAGAGAAAGAGAGAAGGAGGGAGAGAGGGAAGAAGAGAGAAGGAAAAAAGGAAGGAAGGAGGGGGAAGGAGGACGGAGAGGAGGGAAGGAGGGGAGGGGAGGAGGTCCAGACACTGGAAACCACGGAAACTTCACAGAACAGCTTCCCAGCGAGCCACGGGGAGGTAAGAAAGCCTAATTTGTAAGCAGTAGAAAGGGAAGTGGGCTAGGATGGAGGAGGGAAAACAAAAGGAGCCAGTGAAGGGGAAGCTGAGCCAGGTTCATCCAGCTTGCCCTGGCCCCTCTCACCAGAACTCCTGTCCCTCATCCATCATCGGCCCTAACCCTGTTGGTGCATGGGTCCAAGCACAGAAGTCACCTCTAGTGGCTCAAGAACATCAGTCCCTCTGCCATGGGAGGGGAGGGCGGGGCCCCCCATATGATGACTCCCAGGACCACCGGAACAATTTGTAAGCTGGGCCTCCTGGAGTTCAGAACTTAGGTGCAGAGGGACCTCACTGCACTGTCAGCAGAGTGGCCCAGGGACAGTGGGCCACTGGAGGACAACTGGACGGTGTTGGCACACTGATCCAGCAACCCAGAACACAGAAGGGACACAGAGCACTCCACAGAACCTGACATGAAATAATGATAACTGTGCCGTCTGCTTTTCCAGTGGAGCTGCCACCGCACACCCAGTGCTGAAGACGGGGGTAGTGTGGGCTGAAGTCACTGGCCTTCGCGAATTAGCTGAGCGGAACCCTTTCCCCGTGGAGGTGCAGAGAACTCACACACAGGGGCTCAGGAAGTGGCACTAAGACGCCATCTATCTCTCCCTCCTACCAACAGGCTCTGAACCAAAACAATAAAAGACAGCAAAAGATCGCCCCCAAGTCATTGTTTATTAGGCTACTACTTGAGACAGTATAAACATGCCTTTAATAAACTTTAAATTTTAAAACATTGGCCAAGACTTAAAAGAGAGTGTATCACTGAACCTTCACTTCAGAAATTAAAAAAAAATTTTTTGAAAAAACTGCATTACAGGCTTAAGTGAGAGTTATAATATGTGTATTGAATTAATAAAAAATTTGAATACTTGCAGTGATCTGTAGCAATATATGAAGCTGTTTCAAGGTAAAATTGAATAATTAATCATTTAATACATATTTGAAAAGTTTTGAGTTTATAATATGAAAAGTTCTACGTTAATTTGAAGTATTAACTTATCTTCACCCCAATGTTTAATAAGAAAATTGGAAAATGTTTCCTTTATTATTCCCTACTTCCCACCTTTTCTCCATCTCCAATCATGTTAACGCACAGCTGAAGGATAAGATCTTTGGGAACTTTCAGATGAGTTTCACAGTTGAATGCAAACACAAATGATCAGCTGTTAAAGTTTTGTCTCTCTGTTTTCAATAAAGCCACGCCTCTGTTCATGAAAACAATGCATCCTCATATCACACTTCTTTATCGTAAACTTCATCCTCATAACTAGACATGCTAACTTAGCCCCTTCCAGACTGATTGCTTGGTTCATTTGTTCAGTAATTCATTTATTCAGCAAATATTTATGAGGTACCTACTATGCCTCAGGGACAATGCCAGGTGCTGGAAATCCAAAAAGTGATTAAGGCAGAGTCTGTGACTTCAACGAGGAGGTACCAGTGAAAGGTGGGAGGGATACAGACCTTTAAAAGGAGCTGGCAAGGCTGGGTTAGAGGTGGCATGAGACAGCTGGGGGATCGTGGGAGGGCACAGGAGGCCCACATTGGCATGCTCTCCCCTCAACTGAATGGCTTTGTTACTCCTTTACACAAAATGCCAGATTGCTTCCTTCACTTGGGTGGAAGGGTGTGGAAGTACAGGCCCCAGCTCAGGGGAAGTCATAGGGATGGGTCAGAAAACACGAACTGTAAGGTGCTGGCAGGCAATGGGTGAGACCCGCTTCGACTTGTAGCTCACATCTCACTGGGATCATGACAGCATCTAACACTGGTAATTGCATCTTCCTTCTTGAAGCCCTCTCTTTCCTTGGGGATCCCTAAAACACGAGACTCTTTCTTCCTGGAACTGCCCCCTGCAAAATGAGTTCAAAATTTATATCTCCAGCTGGGACATCTCTTTAAGCTTCTGACCTGTATAAATAACTGCCTATTTAATATCTTTGATAATTTTTCGATCCTAACATGTTTAGAGCTGGCTTCATGCTTTCCCTTCCCCTGCCCTACCCAGCCATGGTCTTCTCCCCTTGTTAGTGGTCTTCATCCCAGGAAGTGGCACCAAATCCTTCCTGGCACGTAAGGCAGAGGCTTGAAAATCTTTCCAGACACCTACTTCCTTCTTCCCTCCAGCCCTTACCAATAATCAGCCTAGATCAATTTTCCTCCTATACTTCCTTCACCTGGTATACGCTGGCTTAATCATTCCTAGGGAAGCCTTTCTTGACTAGATCAATCCATCCCATTAATTGCTCTGAAAGCACACAGCCCTTACCAATAATCAGCCTAGATCAATTTTCCTCCTATACTTCCTTCACCTGGTATACACTGGCTTAATCATTCCTAGGGAAGCCTTTCTTGACTAGATCAATCCATCCCATTAATTGCTCTGAAAGCACATTTCCTTTCAATACTTACCACAATTATATTTTACTTGTAGGACTCTGATTACTTTCTGTCTCCCCAATTAGACTGTATGTTCCATGAGACAGGGACTATGTCTTTCCCCCTGCTCACTATTCTAAAAACACTGCTTTGAATATTGATAGCAGTTAATAAATATTCCTTGAAAAAATGCATGATGATGTGTGTGTATGAATATATCAGCCACTCTCCATAATTTAACGCTTTCCCTAAAAAGAGGGTCTGTCGCAGTGCCCTGTGATAGAGCTAGCACATCAAGCTCTATTTGTTGATGTGATTTGACCAGAAGGTTTTAAGTTATTTACAATTGTTTCCTGGGAGTAGTACCCTTGTCCCCCATGAAAAACACAGCTCTGCCCTGTTATTTTCAGTTGAGAGAAAACTTACGGAAATCTAGGTTGAGGTCAAAAAGTTTTAAATACAGAGAACAAAATTTTTATTCTAATAATAATATAACATTCAACTACTTACAATATTACAAAGCAGTTATTCTTTGTTGTTTCTATTTTATCTGTATCAATATTTTCCAGAACAGACAAATGAACACAAAGCTTATGTGGCTTTTTTTTTTTTGCCTTGTTTCTTATTTATTTCCCAAACCCTTTAATGACATTAATTTTCTTAGGCTTCAGATATAAGGTATTTTCCCTTAAGTTTTATTTGTTAAAAGAGATTCTTACAATTCTGTACTTTGTTTGGAACCCTTTACATTCAGATGTTTATATACAATTAAAAATTAATAGGTGACAACATTATTAATAGGTGACACAAAAGAAAAAGTAGTTTGACTTCATTAAAATTAAAATTTTTAATTTTTAATTAAAAATTACTGGGGGAAAAAATTCACAAATCATATAACTGAGAAGGGTTTAATATTCAGAATATATAAAGAACTCCTACAATTCAACAACAAAAAGAAAGACAGTCCAATTTAAAAATAGGCAAAGAATGTGAAAGGCCATTTTTCCAAAGAAGATATACAAATGGCCAATAAGCATATGAAAAGATGCCTCACATCACTAGTCATCAGGGAAATGCAAAGCAATACCTAATGAGATACCACTTCACACTTACTAGAATGGTTATTTAAAAAAAAAATGTGTTGGAGAGGATGTGGAGAAATCAGAACGCTTGTACCTTGCTGGTGGGAATGTAAAATGGTACAACTGCTGTAGAAAACAGTGGCGGTTCTTCAAAAAGTGAAATGTAAAGTTACCATATACCCCAGTGATTTCACTCCTAGGGATATACCCCAAAGAACTGAAAGCAGGGTCTCAAAGAGACATTCGTACACACACGTCCCTAGCAGCATTACTCACAATAGTCAAAGGTGGAAACAACCCAAGTTGTTCATCAACGAATGACTTGATAAACAAAATGTGGTCAATTCTCTTTATTTGCTACAGTTATGTTCTATAAAGTCACAGCAAATACTGAATTAGCAAATATTGAACCCCTCCTCATAGGGGAAATATAGGATTATGGTTCTTCAGGCCTCTGGTCACAACATTTTCATCAACTGATCTATACATAATCTTGTTTTATGTGTCTCTATTTAAAGATATTTTAATGTATATTGCCGTTTCCTTAACATTGAACTCACAGCCAACTGCACTATAACTTGTGTTTGAATGAAGCTTATTAACACATATTTTCTCTGAAAGGCAAATCACAGCCTTCCTGAGCTTAGGAACACTAGCCAGCACTTTGGCAATGTGCTTGAAACAACAAAATCTTTTAAAACAACAAAATCACCAACAAAAAGCACAAAGGTGCAAAAAACGTGCACTAGATAGACTGTGAGAAGGACACTTGTTCACAGTATGACAGCTGAAGCAAGAAAGCAGAATGTCCTCTGGGCTGATCTCAGCTGAAATGTGCACTCTGGGCAATTCAACTTTTTGCTGCTCTGCACACATCTGTGAATGACTGTGAAAATGCTGTGACTATTGACTTTGAGGTTACAAATAAATGTAGCTAGCATGGCAAATTTGCAAATATGGAATCTGCAAATAATGAGGACTGATTCTATATACATACAGTAGAATATTATTCAGCCTTAAAAAGGAATGGAATTCTGATACATGCTACATATGGATGAATACTGAAAACAGGCTAAGTGAAATAAGCCAGACACAAAAGGACAAGTGTTGTATAACTGCACTTATATGAAATATCTAGAAAAGGCAAATTAACAGACTAGAGGTTACCAGGGGCTTGGGGGAGGGGAGAATGTGGAGTCATCACAGAATGGGTTCAGTTTCTGGTTGTGATGATAAAAAGTACTGACTATGATAGGGGTTATGGTTGCACAAGAATGTGAACGTAATGCCACTGAATTGTCCACTTAAAAAATGGCAAATTTTATGTTATATATTCTATGACGAAAATTAATAGATGTACTAAATAAGACTGAATAGATCATTTTAACTTCTGTAAAAACAAAACCTATACACCGATGGTACTAATAGAGATTCTTATTTAACCACGCTTCTTCTTAAACACTCCTCTTTAATATATTAAACAGCCCTCCTTAATATATTTTTTTCTTTTGGTTCATAGCATGCATTTAAAAATGGGCTTGCTATTTAATAATATTAGCCGATTATGGAAGAAAACAAGTAAATTAAAATGTGCAGGTTAGTTTGGCTTTTCTTCATTTTTAGTGAAAATTTATGTAGTACTACAACCATTCTTTCTCACTGATTGCTTAAAGAGGGGCCACCTCGAGAACCAACAACTGATGTTCCTAAATTATCTTTGGAATAAAATTGTCTGTGACTCACTCTATTTGGGTGAACTGATATTCTTAGGTAAGTTACTACTGGAACTATTTAGGTGTGCTGGCACTATGTGTCTACTTTTAATCTTTTGCATTGCTTTTTTTCCTTTTATCACCAATCTATTTCTCATTTGCTTCCTTCCCTACTGATACCCCTATTTTCATATCTCTAGAGAGAGCCATCTGTTAGAATATGGTTGTGGTTACTATCATAATTCCAATGATCCCTTTCAAGTATTTCTTGACCCAACAATTATAAAGAAGCACCGCTGGATATAAACAAAAATGAAATATTCTAATGTGGAATGCAAACAGTATTAAAACGTAAACTTAAAATAGGAAAGAATTCACGGCTAAAGAAAATCTATTACAATTCTTTCAGTCTTTTAAAATGCATCATAAAACTAAAAACGTTTCACTACAGAATAACATTTTGGCTTCTTTTATGATTGCAAAGAAGGGTAATTATGATTGTCATGAAAACACATTGAGCAGCTGTATACTGCTAACAAAAGAACCATTATATGATGCTCGTAAAAACTGGCACTTTATACAATCACATTTCCTAGAAATTAGATAGTCTTCCCAATTGGAGTAGATACCAAAGAGACTGTTTTCTATTAATTGTGGCTTCATACCAATCAAGTCTATAGAGCCAATTGGATCATCTTTCCTTTGGGACGATTTCCACAATTATGTAGGATTTATATATACTCAGAATTGTACATTATAATTTTGTAAAAAGCAATTTTTAAGTTCTTAAAAATCTATGCATTTTTAGATCTTAAAAAATGCCAGCATCAATAGATTCTTTCACAAATGTACATCTGTTTAGAAATTATAAAAAAGCATAGCAAATAACTCTGCAGTTTATTTTATAAAGACTAATTAATAAGGTACTCACTCATTAAAGACTAGGTCTGGTGCAAAATAGAGAAATTGGCTGTTCGTATGTTTGTACGATCTCCAGCTCAAGGCAAATGATGATAGACACATCCAAGAATACTGGATTAGGGTAATTTGGTCCTCAAGAGGCATGTTTTTAAATCCTGAAGAACAGAACAATTAATCAAAGAAATACACTTAGCATTTAAGTACATTCCAGGAAGAAGCTTCTTAAGTCAACCCCAAACAGCCACCTTTCTCTAATAGATTCAAATCAATTCAACAGTCATTTATGGAGCACTCACCACAGACCCAGCCCTTTCCAATGTTTTATTTCAAATTCACCCTAAATACTTAATGAGTGTGAACTGCCAGTACAAACTAAAACTGGAGAGTTCAGTGAGGTTCAGTGTAGATGCAGCCTAAAACCCTTGGTCAGACTGAAAGAACTTGTATTAACCTATAAAACTTGCTTCATCCCACACACAATTAATAACCCTACAGTAAAGAGTGTTTAATAATTGTCAACACCCGTATAATCTGCAATTATGGTGGAAGATTTTAGTTCTCATGAGTTTGTGGTGCTTCAAAAAAGATGATTCCTTGCTTCCCACAGTCTGGGATAATATCAGACTTGGACAAAGTTCTGTAGCAGAACAAGCATCCTCGGCACTTGTCCTCCCCTCTCTGACAGCCTTCCTTTTGGGGCCTCAAGCCCTTCTCTTCTTCCTTTTCTCACCCTCTATTCCCAGTGGCATCAAATTATTCTTCCATCTACAGAATTTTACCCAGGCAAGCTCCTCTTCAAAGGTCCAGTTGCTGGAGCTTTCCCCAATCTTTTTTTCTTATGGCTGCTAGCTGACCATAGGTAATCTAAGAAACTGCTTTACTTGTAGATTAGTGAACTGAGACAACATGATGGGTAGCAAATCTAAGTGATTTTTCTTCAGATTATTGGGGGCCTTACTAATAAAATCCTATAGCATAAAGAATGACTAACGTAGGAATTTCAAGAACAATTTGAAGGGTGCTGGGAGTAAGGTGGTATTTTTTTTGGACAGAAAAGTCTTTCCGGTCTCTTACAACTTACTTACTAGGCCTTGGCTTACTTGGTCTATGCTTAGATTAGCCCTCATTGTGAGATACTCAAATGGGCTTGATTTGTGCTTTCACGAACAGAATGTATTTTACCTTATTAATATTCTGGGGATGAAATTTTCCATTTCAATCATCAACATAAGAAATGTATTTTATTTTAACAACAGAATCCTTAACCTCCACATTCTCAGAAGAAACAAGCCCATTAACCAGATTGTTCCCACACACTTGATTAACTTGATATCAGTGTAAAAAGTTGCTAGCAGGCTTTAATAGAAAGCTCACTCCAGTTGCACTGTTGGAGGGGACAAAGTCTGCTGCCCTGACTTGTTTAGTTCAGGATGCAAAGGTGAAAGGAGAGGCAATCCTACCTGGAAGTACCTTTGCCCACTTCACAACTTGAATCATCTGTTTGCCTGCTAAGCGGTTTAGAGTGGAGAGCAGATTTTCGGCTGTATCTGGTTTTGAGCTGTCATAGCCTGCATACACAATTTCAGGTTCAATGTTTTCAAGGACCATAGCAGGGGAAGGTGTGAGTGCTCGTGAAATTGTGGAGAGCTGAGGAACCAGTGCACTGTTGACTGAGGGCTCTTTTGCGGGAGCGATATATGTTGTCCCTTCCTCGGGGCTTTGGGGTGGTGGAGGTGGAGGTGGTGGCTGCTGCTGCTGTGGCTGTTCCTCGTGAATCCCTTTCAACTTTCCCAACTTCTTTGACTTTCGAGCTGTAAGAAAATCATAAATGATGGGCCAAATTAAAATTATGTTTGGAATATACTTCATAAGGTAAATTATAACTGAACATTGACTTATATTGGTTAAAGCATACTTTTCCTCTAAAGAAGTCTTGTTATACCAATAAGAACATTACCTTTTAAGTATTCTACTAAGAGAAAATACACAAAGCCCAATTGCTATTACTGTGGATATTAGGAAAACAAATTCCTCCCACCTTTCATACATGCTGTAAATCTTCACTACTTGTCTCTTATATGCAAGATATTAGAAACCAAGCTAATATCTTTAGTGTGATCCCTGTCCTTACCTTGTCCTCAACAGATGTTCATCCTAGTGGGGAAGGAACTAAGAAATGTATTGCAAAACTGTATCACAGTGCAGATAGAGAAAGGTACCATGATAAAAATGATAAAAAATAAGCTAAAATTCTTTGAATTCTTACTAATACCAGGCACTGTTCTAAATTAGCCAAGCAACAAATTTAACAATTTTATAAGTAGGTACTATTATGATTCTCATTTTAGAATGAGGAAACTGAGACCAGAGAGGTTAAGAAAGCTGTCCAAGGTCATTCAGCTAGTATATGTCATTAAATAGAGACAGGGTTCAGAGGAAGGATAAATTACTTCATATGCTAATATGATGGGAGGTACATGGGTAGATGGACAGATTATTTGGAAGATAGATGAATGAGTGAATGGATGAAAAGAAAAGAAAGCTCAGAAGTGCCAAATTGAGCTTAAATGGTGATTACTTACTTTGCAATTATACGGTTTTCAATTTATTTTAAAATTCTTGAAGAACTAGACACTTGCTATTCAATCGTAACAGACATGGGGAAATTACAGGATAAGAATTTAACATAAAACAGGGCTATGCCACACCAATTAACTTGATTTGAAAAAATAACTGTTCATGTTTACAATTGCAGCCACTAATATCACATTCATCACAGAAAAACTTAAAATTCAGATAAAAGATAAGCGGCCACTAAACAACAGATATATCTGCTACACGGTCATTAAATATTGGAACTAGACTTAAAAGATGAATTAGACAATTAAAAAATTTCAATCATTCATTGATGGTCTGTCTCCTACAGTAAAAGATTTGAGGCAGTAAAATCTGATTTTCAGAACTGTGTCAATGAAAAGCAGATGTGTCATCTTCATGTATGCTACTGGAAGCGGCTGACAAAACACTACACGGTATTGCTCAGCGACAGTTAGGTAACCAAGATGCTTCTGACAGATGAATGAGTGAACGAACAAACAAAAAATAATCAGCAAAGTGCCTCAAAATCTAGACAAAACAGAGAAGGAAAAGAAAAGAACCACACATCTAGATAATCCAAAATGCTATTCAATTGATGACTCTACAGAAGCTTGAGAAAATCCTCAATAGCATTATTTGGTCTCTGGGCAATTGGATACCTGAACTGTTTCTGTGTCGCATAAACTCTTCTCAAGCCTCAACTGATTCATCTGAGAAATGGGGATGATAGTGTTTCCCTCTCCTATCTCACAGAGGAGATTATTATTAACATCTGAACTAGTATTTCAACGTTACTTCCATTCTTTCCTGTAATCTTAAAAATATTAAAGACATTCTAGTTCATTAAAATGTTCTCATCCTTTATGAGGCTACATCTAATGATAACCATAATTTGACCAGAAACAGCCAAGGGTGATATTTTCAAATTTTATTAAAAGTGGTATTTGCTCACAAATTAATGATAAAATTCATATTTGCTTTAGGGTCTAGTCCTATAATGCTGTGTTTATTCTCATGGCTGATTTAAGGTCAATGCTATGAAATATCATGAAGAAGAATACTCAATATGTTCTCTAGCACTTACACACAAGGCTGTGGTCTGTAGCATAAACTTACCGAGAAGATTATCAACATCATGTTAAGTATTTCAGTTACATTTAACTTTATGCTATAATTTTGTGAGTATATGTGAAACGCTTGGAACTGAGTAATAATCTATATTTACTTAAATAGCTCAAGATAAAAATCTTCAGTATGTAGATTTTTCAGCCAATTGTATTTACCCAATGTCTATTCTAAAAGCACGGGGAGTATGGTTACATAATCAATTATGCTTATATTAGTCAAAGTAACATTTTCTAAGATGCTTAAAAATTTTACTGTTCTATACATGGTATATTCTAAAATTTAAGTTCTTCAAAGTTGGTAATAATGTCTTATGTATTCCTATAACACCCTATCACTTCCCATGATAGTTATGTGTACTCAATAAATGTTTGTTGAATAAATATATTTCATTTAAAAATTTTAATAAATTTTAAGAAACTATTACATATATGACGTACTAATTAATTTCCCTGTGGGAAATGAAGGCAAGCTTCTGAGATTTTAAGATAAAATTTCTGAATTATTATTTCTTTCCAAAATGTCTGCTGTGTAATGGTCCATTTGTGGTGTTATTCCTCTTAAAATGCCACATCTAAAGTAACAATAAGCTAAATTTACTTAGCACTTATGTTCTAAGCACAGTTTGAAGTGCTTTTTACATGTTTTGAGCACTCCAGTGCTCACCATGATGCCACGATAAGGCACTATTATTATTTCCATTTTTCCAGGATACTGAAGCACAGAGATCCTAAGCACTTTTTCAAAGTTTCAGAGCTAGTAGTAAACACCAGGCAAGGATTGGAATGCAGCCATAACTTGAAGCCCACACTCTTAACCTCCCTATGCTATGCATTTTCTTTTCTAATCCTTTTCTTTTTATCTAATTTGTATTATTTCATACTTTAAGATTAGCACAAGCTTCAAATCCAAGTGTACAATTAAGATGTTTGCTAATTATGCAGTTTTGGCTAAGGACACTTAAGGAGCATGTTTCCATTATCCAAAGCATCAGTGAACATAAATTTTGGGTCTTATCTCTATTTAGCACCTTACTAAACTGACAACAGATTATTCAATTGATGGCCATTGGGCTTGGGGATCTCTGGCTCCCAGGAGGCTAGAGCCACACTCCATTTCTCAGCTGCCAGCAACAGTAGCTGTGTGTGTGTAGGGTGCATTAACGTGACTATAAGTGTTTACCAGTCCTATTTAAACTCCCTTAAAAGAGGTGTTTCGCTTGTTCTACCTGGACCTTATAGCAACTGGGATGTGCTTAGTGGCTGCTGCCCTTGGCTGCCAAATTCTTAATTACTAGCAGCATCTTGGCAGCCACTTTCCTGGCACTAATGGGAGACAGAACTCCATAGATTCTCTGTGAATTGTTCCCCCAGGAGCTGGCAATAAGGCGGCCCTGCTTCCCATCCTGAGTAATATGCCAAACAGCAAGCGGGCAGCATCTTGGTGGGACCCTATAAAAATTGTGAAAAGTTTCCAATAGGATTGCAAGATTCACAGAGGCCTTGAAACATGGCATGGCAAGATTTCCTTCCTGGTTTGCTCCACCTCCTGAGACTGATATGACCTGCTACACACCCTTCTGACCAACCACTGGTGTAGCTGAGTGACGGCTAGCTAGGAATGTCACCGTGGCATCCCACTGTGCTAAGATGCTGAGATAAACAGGGTTCTCACTGTGTTTTCATTAGAAATGGTAATCAGGACAGTTTTCTTCTTTTTCATTTTTTTCTTCTGGAGTAAAATAAAAGACATACACAGAGGAATAAAAAATTTTTTCAATCACAACATTTCACTAGAAAAAAAATTAAAGTGAGAATTCTGTCATTTTGGAAACAGTTCATGCCATGTCTCGAAATCTTAGGTCTTGGCAGTAAATATTAGATAGGATATTCTGGGGTTATATTAAAATATATATTTTTCTGTTCATAGGCCAAAGGTAACTACAGCACACAGAACAATAACAGCGTTCGCTCCCACCCCAGCCCCTTTCTTTAGCAGACCATTTCTTTCGTCACCCTCACATGCGGGGGATGCATTTCAGCAGTGTCCCCAACTGTGCTCTCCTATTTTCCTCCTCCTCTTCATTTGCATGACTTCTCTTTGCCTTTTTACTACCAGAGGAGGAATACTCTGAGAGACGGGGACAACTAAGTATTTTTGTGTGTGAAACCAAAGGAAGAAATGTCATCTTTCTACAAGTTTAAGTGGTTGTGCAGCAAAACCACCCTAATTTGTACTAATAGGAAAAAGAGCATTCAGTGGTTCTCAAGGTAATAGAACTGGGGTGAGGGTCCAAGGGCCAGTTGCTTCCATGAATAAATAATGAGCTCGTCAAAAGATCATGAGAAAGTGGCATTTCAATTGTTTATAAACACTCCTGGAGTGGTTAATGAAGTTGAAAACAGGGTGTTTTTAAAAGTATCTTTAAATATTCTCAGATTAACCTATATAATTTAACAAATTAACGTGCATTATTGATTTTATTAGCACAGAAAACATGCTAAGGCAGACACACACCCAATCTTTGACCACTTTAAAAGGTATTTCAAATTAGCGGATCTCCATATATTAAACTTTAATATGCGTATAAAGCTATCCATAGATATCTTTATCTATTCCTATAATAAATATAACTTTGTTACTCTTGTTGAAATAAAATAGGTTTATCAATTACTTAGCAAATAACTAATATCCAACCAATGTATAGGAAGTACCCTGTTTGTGAGCAATGCAATATTGACTGACGAGATCTGAGCCCCGACAAGAGATTACAACCTCAAGGAAGTTGGATCAATACATAATAAAGAAATCAGATTTATAAAGCAGGGTGTGATAAGTTTGGGTGGAACTGACAATATATTTGGAGAGAAAGACAATGGCAGAGAGAAGGTGTTTTCCCTCTCCACAGGAGCTCACACCTTCCTCCCCTCTGTGATAATGATAATTCTCACCATGTCCTGGTTTGGTTTTGGTGTGATTTGGATTGCACTGAGGGCCCATGTGGACTGGGCCACTTTCCTGTATGGGGAACCACCCAAATTCAAGCACCACTGATCCCCCTAGAAGAAGAGTGTCTCAGACCAGAACT